CGACCCGGAGGGGGCCGACCACTTCGAGTTCGTAGAGTTGAGCAGCTACAGTGACATCGACTTCGAGCTTACCGCGGACCAGGATGGCATGGTGTCTCCTGTGGCGCCCCCTGCCTGCTGGGCTTCGTGACCCCCCAGGCGCCTCGGGCGCTACGACGTCTTCGTTGCAGGCATGGGGAACTGCCGCTCCCGCTGCGATGCTGGACGCGCCGAGCGCGCCTTCGACATGGGCGCCTGGACAGGCAGGCGCTTGTCCCTCGGTCGAACCCGCCCCGCCCCCCCGGGGTCGCAGCCTGGGGCGGGGGAGGCCGTTGAAGAGGGCGGCGATCCTGCAAGGCCAGGCGAGCTGTCAGAGCTCGATGGCCAGCAGCAGCCAAGGATCGCGACGGCAATGCAGCAGGGCCTCGAGGTCGCCCCGAGCGCGCGCGGCGTGGACCCGCAGAGGATCGCCGCCGACCAGGAGGAGGAGCGCCTGCAGCGGGACCTCGACGGCATGGCGACCCACTGGACAGGCGACCCCAGCTCGGGCGAGGTCGAGGCGGACGCGGCGCAGGACGATTGGATGGTGTCTTGCGTGCCGTGCGCCGTGGAGCAGCTGCGGGCTCCTGCGTACGACATGCTCTTCGAGGGCGGCTGGGATGAGGACCTCCCGTTGGACGCGCGGCGGCAGCGCCTCGCGCGCGAGCTGCGCGAGGTCGCCTGGCGCTCGGGGCGCGGCAGCCGAGAACGGCGCCTGGCTCAGCTCCAGCGGCTGCGGGAGCGGAACGAGGGCGATTGGCGCGAGGCAGTGCAGCTCCACCTCCGCGCCCTCCAGGACCAGAGACGGTGGCTCAGCGAGCGCTCAGGCCAGCGGCGGCGCCCGTCCCGCGAGGGGCGCGCCATCGGGCGAGGCGCGGCGCCTGCGCCTAGCCCCGCCGTTGCCCGCGGGCCCGGGCGCGCCTCCAGCGCCGGCAGGCCAGACGGCGTGGCCAGCGCCATGCCGACGGCGGAGGGCGCGTCGCGCATCAACCTCCAGGAGGTGGGCCCACATGACGCCATGGACCGCGCCAAGGAGGTGCTGAGCGAGGCCAAGCTCGTCGCGTGGGCCAGCGCCGACGAGCGCCGCAGCGAGCTCCGCCCGCAGCCGTGGCTCGCGCCGATCCGCCAGCTGCAGAAGAAGCGGCTCTCCAAGGCGTGGACGCGGCACCACCGTCAGGCAGCTAAGGTCGCCACGCTGGGCGGCTTCCCCGAGCAGCTCGCCCTGTGCGAGAACGGCCGCGTCGAGTCGCCGCACTGCCCGTTGTGCGGCGAGGCCGAGGGCGACAACATGAACGTTCATTGGAAATGTCAGGCGGCTCCGTGCCGAGAGGCGCGGGCCAAGCTCGCCGACTGCGAGAACCCGCACAACTTCCGCGACGTGGTGCACCTTGGAGCGCCCGCTACGGACGCTTGGTTGTGGACACGAGGGCTCATTGCAGACCCCGCCGTCGGCGTGTCCTGGCACCCCCCGCAGAGCGAGCTGAATTGGGAGTGCCCCGAGGGGCCCAGCCTGTTCGAGGGGCGCGCCGCCACCGACGGCTCAGTGGTCAACCCCGCCTGGGTCCGGCTCCGCGCGGGCGGCTGGGCCGTGGCCACTTTCCGCGACGGTGAGCTGGCGCGGGGCCTCTGGGGGCCGCTGCCCATCCCCGCCACGAGCAGCCTGATCGCTGAGCTCTGGGCCATCATGATGCTGCTGCAGCACGCGGGCCTCCTCTTGGAGCTGGTGCTGGACTGCCAGGGCGCGGTGGGCGGCTTGCTCGCTGGGCGCGCCTTCTGCTGCCGCAGCAACGCTGCCGGCGCCCATCTGCGGCGGCGGATCTGGGACCTGCTGGGCGCGAGGGACTTGGTTCCAGGCGAGAACCTCAGGGTGCTGAAGGTCAAGTCGCACACGTCTCTCAAGAAGAGGGAGGACTTCGACGACGACCTGAAGGACCAGCACTCCCTGAATGACGCCGTGGACAGGCTGGCCAAGCGGGGAGCGGCCCGCTGCCCCGTGCCCGAGCGGGCGGTCACCCACGCCAAGACCAGCAGCCACAAGGCAAAGCGCATCCTGCAGTACATCGCCAGCTTCCGCGTGCTCTTGATGGGGGTCCTCACCGGGGAACGGCTGCAGGGCCGCGCTCGCCGCGCGGTCCAGGCGAAGCGCCGGGGGCCCGTGCTCCGCCCGCGCGCGCTGGCGCCGAGCGGTGCTGGATGAGGTAGCAAAGGCCGCTGCGGAGGGCCATGCGCCGCCCGAAGTTGTGGAGTCGCGAGATGTTTTTGATGTGCTCGAGCCCGCGACCATCATGCCCGCCGTGGCGTGCTCGGATGCCGCCCCCATCCAGTCCGTCAGCGAGGTGCCGCTCGACGTGCACGTGCACAAAGTGCCCGTCTTCGACGTGACTGGCTGCGACGGCCTCAAGAAGGTCCATTTGCGCGTGAAGCGCCTCTCCTCAGTCACTCCCCCTATCAGCATCATCATCGCCCCCGTCCTCGTCCGATCGCTCAGGATTTGCATGGGCGCCCCACTGGGGGGCACCCAAGTGGGGGAGTTATATGGGCACCCAAGGGGGTGGGGGTGATGGCGGGAGGGGGCATAATACATCCTGGAGCGCATGCACATGAACATTTTCACATGGGCCCTCGATGCGGCCGAATACACGCACAGACCATAGACTGGTGATTCAAACATTTATATGGTGATGTTTGCGCCCCCCCATCCTCCTCCTCCATATTCTCAAATCTCACCCGTCGTTTGGCCCCAGTGTGGCCAAAGGGTCGGCGAAGACGGCAACTGGGGAACCTGGGCCGTCTGGGACTCTCGCGTTGAGGACGTCTCGGGCCACCGAACGGGGGGGCGCACTGCCCCCTCGCATCGGGCAGTTTGGGAACGATCCAGGGCCCCCGCGTTGGAGCAGCCTCCCTGCCCCCCCCGGCTTTGGCCGAGGTGACCGATGCGCAATCGGCATGCGTTGGCAACCTGACCTCGACGATCGAGGCGGCCGAAAAGAATTTCGCCGAAAACCCGCGCTGGACTGGCCTCTCGGGCAAGATCGGAGGGTGGAAGCACGACGCGGGTCCACCGCTGGCGCCCCCCGAGCACACGGACTCTGCCGCGTGCTGTCCTTGGCTGGTATCGTTGAAACGCTTCGGGCGGGGCCGCAGCGCGTTCGGAGTGCCGCTCGCTGCTGTTTCGATGTGGCTGCAGCCCGTGAATGCAGATGCCGCCCGCCCTCGCCTGCATGCCGATCGAGAAGCTGATTTCGAGCGGAATCGCGCTGAACGAGACCGAGACGTTCCTAGAATCGCCCACGGGGCAGTCGCGGTTCAAGCAGAACGCCTCGATGGTGCTCATCCCGAAAGGCGTTGCCGTGAGAGTGCCCGTCGGCACGTTCCCCCTCCTGCACTGCGCGCCATTCTCCCTCGACGGCGACGCGGATGAGGAGGGCCCGCAGCCGAAGCAGAACGCCCCAGAGCACCCCCACACGTGGTTCTTGCCAACCCCGAGCGTGCAGGAGCTGATGGCCATCCCTCTCGCTGTGGCCAGGGCCGTCTACCAGTACCACTCGGAGGTCCACCTTCGCGAGTCCCCCTCGTCGTGGCAAGCGAGGGCCACCGCGCTGACAGAGATCTGGACGGCGGCCAAGGTGCTGGGCAATTAGGGCGTCTAGCGTCCCAGCCCCTACATATGCTTACAGGCGCTGAGATGCGCCTGCACACGCCGAGAACGATCATCGTTCTGGCAGCGAGCTGCGGAGCGTTTTGCCCCAGCTCCAGAACAAAACAGCGTGATGTTCACGATCACCATCAACACCGCAATCATCAATATCATCACCATCATCACCATCATCACCGCCATCGTCACCATCACCATCATCACCATCATCACAGCAATCGCCACCCTCATCATTGCAATCGCCACCAACACCACCACCATCATCATACTTATGATCATCATCATCAGTGCCAAGATCATTCGCACCATCATCACCATCGTCGTCATCATCACCCAAACCAGCATTACCATCACCACGGTCATCACACGGCACCACCACCAGTGACCACGATGATATTAGTCATGGTGATGCTGATGGTGGTGGTGAGTTTGTTGATGATGGTGGTGTTCATGTCTACGGCGATGTTGATGCTGATGGTGATTATACTGCTGTTTACGGCGAGGTTGGTAATGAGGATGATGATGAGTCCCAGCCAATGGTCAATTAGGCGCAACCCTCGCACGCTTCGTGGATCCCCAGGCAGCTCTGCTGAAGCGTTTATAAACATTAGGGTTTGCTTTTTCTGGATTTTGATTTTGGGTGGGCGCGGGTTTTCCCTTTACTCGCCCCCCCCGCGCGCGGCGTTCCCCACTACTCGCCCTCCCCCGAAACGGTCCCCAGTTCTATTCGCCCCACCCCGAAACGGTCCCACGACCAGAACGCGACTAGAATTCTAGTCGCGACAAGGCCGCGACTAGAACGCGACTAGAACCATTACTCAACCACTACGATACAGCAAAACCCATGTCTCACCACTCGCGCTGCCAGTGGGTCGAGAGGATTTGTTTTGCCTGTCAGTGGCGCCCGGGCTTCAGTTGCCCGTGGCGGTTTCGCTCTGCCGTCGCGCCGTCTGTCCGCCTGCAGGCGCGGCCGTCTCCATCGGGAAGAAACGAGTGCACTGGGGAGCTATATGCGCGTCCCACCCACCCACCCAAGATTGTCAGCTCGATCTCATGGGTGCGCTCTTGGTCTCAGACCCGCATTCCCGAGGTGTTGCCAGCGCGGAGTGGATGGGGGACGTGTAGGGGGTGTAAGTGCTATCAGCCCCGTCTCCCCTGAGGTTTTAGATTTCAGGCCCCCCCATCGACGCTGGGGGATTCTCAGGCGTCATACAGTTGAGGGAAGGGCAGATTTGGGGAGGGCGACGAGGAAATGTAAGAGGGAAGGGGGGGGGGGAGGGAGGAGGGAGAGGACAAGGGAGGAGGCCCGCGCCCCGCCCCACGGGAGGTCGGCGGCTATTTCGGCTACACGACCCGGCTCCTGAGCAGGCTCTTCGCCAGGCCATTCTTCTTCCGATTGCTTCCACGACGTTTATTCCGTGTGGCAGTTTACTTGCCGTCCTCGCTCCCCTGGCACTGTTGTTTGGTGCAGGGAGCGCCTCTCCCGTGCACTGCTTGTTTTTTCACACGGCCAGAGGAATTCAAGAATTGGTGACCCATTTTGTCGTTGTAGGATCGGACGGTCTTCGCCATTATCTTTCCGATGTGCTTTCGCACTCGATTCGCTTTCGGCCGTTCGCCTCCGGCGGTCCCGAATGCCGTTCTCGCCTCGGCGCCTGCCGTTTTTGTTGCCCCCCACCCCCTCACCATTTCGCGATTTGGATGCGACTCCCCTCTCTACGCTGGCACTGTTCGACTACACGTAAGAGTGACCCTTCGCCGGAGTGACCTTTGGTGCGGGCCCATTGGGGTCCCCGATCGCCGAACGCGAGGCGGCAGTGGCGTCTTGCGCGCTTGTGTTTGGCCCCCCCCGCGGCCCCCAACAAGTCGCGCACCAAAGGTCACTCTTGCCCAAAGTCAGGAGGGAAAAAACACAGACACAATTAATCGTCGACTCCCAGGAAAATATAGGAAAATATGGGAAGTGGGGGGGAAGACAGAAACCCAGAAAATATGGGAAAACATGGGGGATATTCTTATTTGTGTGTATTTATTTGTGTGTCCCAGGGCCCCTTCACAAAGGCCACTCCTGCGTGTAGCCGAGCTGTCCAGTGACGGGGCCGAGCCTCCCGCGGGTGCAGCTGCGCCGACGCCTCTCGAGGGGTTCTCCGAGGACACGCGCCCCGTGAGGGCCGAGGCTCCCGAGGCGCGGGGCGCCAGTGGCGCTCGCCGTCGTCGTCGTCGTCGTCGACTTGTCGTCGTCGGCATCGTCGCCGTCCTCCTTCCGCTTCCCTTCTGGCATCGTCGGCATCGTCGGCATCGTCGCCCTTCCGTCTTTTCGCTTCCCTCGCATCGTCGGCATCGTCGGCATCGTCGGCTTCCTTTCGCTTCCCTTCCGTCCTCCTTGTCATCGTCGGCATCGTCGCCGTCCTCCGTCGCCAGAGGGGACTCGTCCCATGGGGATCCCTTCTCAGAGAAGGTGCGCTGCGGAACCGCGGGCGCGGCGAACTGCGCCCGAGTGTGAGCAATCCCGCGTGTCAGGGAACACCCCCCGCAGCCTCGCACCACGGGGCTACGGTTATGTCTTCCCCTGTATCGGCCACGCGGCGGGGACAGAGCTTAACAATTCTAGACGCTTCGCGTAACCCCACCAGTGTCCGTAGCCGTAGCCCTTGGCTCAAGCCCTGGCTCAAGCCGTCTCGGCTCGAGCCCGCCCCTGCTCAGGTTCGGCGCTCGGGCCCGGGTAATGGAGTCCGCGGCGGCGTGGCGGCGCCGGCAGATGCGCGCGGCCGTCTTGCGCCGCTTGGGCGCCGCTGGCGCCGTGGGCGCCGCGGGCGCCGCGGGCGCCGCGGGCGCCGCGGGCGCCGCTGGCGCCGCTGGCGCTGCCGGCGCCGCGGGCGCCGCCGGCGCCGCCGCTGCCGGCGCCGCCGCGGGCGCCGCCGCGCCGCCGGTGCCGCCGCGGGCGCCGCCTGCCGGCGGGACGCGGGCGCGCGGGCGCCGCCTGCGCCGCGGGCGCCGCTGGAGCCGCGGGCGCCGCTGGCGTCGCGAGCGCCGCTGGCGCCGCCGCTGCCGGCGGCGCCGCCGGCGCCGCTGGCGCCGCGGCCGCCGCTGGCGCCGCCAGCGCCGCGGGCGCTGCCGCCGAGGCCGCCGCCGCGACCGGCGCCGCCGCGGCCGCCGCTGCTGGGCCTCCCCCCGCTGCGGCCGCCGCTGCCCCTCGGGCGGCCGCGGCGGCCGCCTGCGGCGCCGCCGCCGCCGCCAGCGAGGCTGCGGCCGCCGCGGGCCTCTGGGAGGCCGTGGCGGCCCTGGCCCCGCGCCGCCGGCCTCGCCGCTGGGGCTGCCGGCTGCGGCGCCGTGGCCGCGGCGCCGGCCGCCGCGGCGGCCGCGCGGCGACTGCGGCGTCGGCCGCGCTTGGGCCCTGGGGCGCGGGGGCGGCGCCCGCGGCCTGCGCCGCCCGTCCCCACGGCCGCCGGCGGCGCGGCCACTGGGCTCACAGCGGATGGCAACATGGAGAACCTCGCCCGCCGACGCCGCACAGAGCTGAAGCACGGCCTCGTGAGCATGCTGACGAAGCACGACGACGCTGACGAGGACGACCACGACCTCCACGGCGCCGACGCCGCCGACGACGACCTAAACGGACGCCGTCGCCTCGACGACGACGACGACGACGACGACGACGACGACGACGACGACGACGACGACCACGACCACTACCGCGACCACCACGACGCCGACGCCGCCGACGACGACCTCCACGGACGCCGTCGCCTCGAAGACGACGACGACGGCGACGACCACGACCACGAGCACGACCACGACGACGAGATGAAGCGGTCCCTGAACGCGGAGCTGGCCAACGGCCGCCTGGCCAGGATGGCCATCATCGGGATGTTCCTCCAGGACGGCCTCATGGGCTCCGCCTGGGGCGACTGGGCGACCTACACGGATTCGCCGCCGCGCGCCTTCGAGAGCGAGTGGGACCCGTTCGGCCTTGCGAAGGACGTCGGTGCGGACGTCCGAGGTCAAGAACGGCCGCTTCGCCATTTCGGCCGCCATAGGGTACTTCGTACAGGGTGTCTTCCTGTGGCCGGGAGGTGTCTTCCTCAAGGGGCCTGCCCTCGCGAGTCTTCCGAAAGGCCAGAGCGTTCTGGGCAAGGTGTCTGGTTCCGACTGTGGGCAAATGTTCCTGTTCTACGGCTCCCCCGAGCTCCAAGCGGCCAGGCAGGACCCTACGGACCCTCCGAGCAAGCTCAGCAGAACCGAGGCGGGTTTCGGAAAGTCGTACCTCGGGGCCCCCGACGGGCTCAAGGGGGACGGCATCGAGGACCCTGAGAAGAACAAGTAGTCCCTGAGCGCGGAGCCGGCCGAAGGCCGCCTGAACAGGACGGCCATCATCGGGATGTTCTCCCAGGACAACCGCACAGGCTCCGCCTGGGGCGACGGGGTGAACTACATTGACTCGCCGCTGCGCGCCCTCGAGAGCGAGTTGTGCGCGCAGGCGCCCGTCGGACAATGGGGCCCGCTTGGCCTCGACGACGGCCACGACCACGACGGCTCTGAAGACGACCGCGACCACGACCCAGATGACTCGACCTCCCCCATGCAATCGGCCTCCGAGGCCCTCAAAGGATACAAGGGGTACGACATCGCGGACCCTGAGAAGATGAAGCGGTCCCTGAACGCGGAGCTAGCCAGCGGCCGCCTGGCCATGGTGGCCATCATCGGGATGTTCCTCCAGGACGGCCTCATGGGCCCCGCCCGGGGCGACTGAGCGACCTACACGGATTCGCCGCTGCGTGCCGTCGAGAGCGAGTGGGACCTGCAGGCGCCCGTTGGCTACTGGGACCCGCTTGGCCTTGCGAAGGACTTCGGTGCGGGCGTCCTCCACAGGAGGAGAGACACCGGGGTCAAGCACGGCCGCGTCGCCATGTGGGCCGCCACAGGGTAAATCGTGCAGGACTTCTTCCCGTGGCCGGGAGGTGTCGTCCTCGAGGGCTCCGCCCGGGGCGACTGGGCGACCCGCGCGGATCCGCCGCCGCGCGCCGTCGAGAGCGTGTGGGGCCTGCAGGTGCGTCGGCCACTGGGGCCCGCTCGGCCCTGCAAAGGGCGGCGGTGCGGACGTCGTCGACAGGGGGAGGCGCGCCGAGATCAAGCACGGCCGCATTGCCATGTGGGCCGACATGGGGTACAGTGGGACGGGCATCTTCCAGTGGCCGGGAGGTGTCGCCCTCGAGGGGCCTGCCGTTACGAGTCTTCCGAGGGGCCTGAGCGCTCCTGGCAAGGTGTCTGGTGCCGACTGGGGGCAAACGCTCTTGTTCTACGGCCCCCTCGAGCTTCGCGCGTCCAGGCAGGGCCCCGCGGACCCTCCGGGCAAGCTCAGCAGGACCGAGGCGGGCTTCGGAGAGTCGTATTTCGGTGCCCTCGGCGGGCTCAAGGGGGACGGCATCGAAGACCCTGAGAAGAACAAGCGGTCTCTGAGCGCGGAGCTGGCCGAAGGCCGCCTGGCCATGACGGCCATCATCGGGATGTTCTTCCAGGACAACCTCAAGGGCTCCGCCTGGGGCGAATGGGCGACCTACACGGGTTCGCCGCCTCGTGCCCTCGAGAGCGAGCTGTGCGTGCATGCGCCCGTCGGCTACGACGACCCGCTCGGCCTCGCTGAGGTCCACGTCCACGACCACGTCGGCGACGACCACGACCACGACGGCTACGAAGACGACCACGGCCACGTCTACGACGACGACGACCACGACCTTCACGGACGCCGTCGCCTCGACGACGACGACGACGACGACGACGACCACGACCACGACCGCGAACACGACCACAACGTCGACCATGACGGCGACCACCAAGCGATTGAGGCCGACGCCGATGCTGACGACGACGCCGACGCCGTCGCCGACGCCGACGACGCCGACGTCGACGACTTAGACGCCGACAACGACGACGCCGACCCGCTGCAGCACCACAGCTGCTGCAGCAGCGGCTGCAGCAGCAGCAGCAGCGGCAGCGTGCTTCCCCCCGTTTCGCCGACAGAAGACAACGTCCCAGAGGGGAATCGAGGTGCGGTTGGGGCAGAGGCCACGACGCCACTCCCCACATCATGGTCAGACGATGGCGTCCCAGTGGGGAATCGAGAGGAGGTTGCCTGCAGTGACCAGTGTACAGCTCACACGAACGCCCCCCCCTTCAGCTGCACCAGCAGGCCAGAGGAAAGGAACGGGAAACCACTGCGGAGACGGTGGAGGCCGCGGAAGCTGCGGAGTACCCCCCTCTGGACGAACTGTCCGTCAGCAGTCCTCTGTACCGGCAAGGCAGAGGAATGGAGGGGGAAGTCACGGCGGAGACGGCGGACGCTCCGCGGATTTTCCCCCACAGTGCAACCAGCGCGCCAGCAG